AATACCGATCCGCTACCCCTTAATCTGCAGTATAACAATACCGATCCCCTATCTCTTAATGGCTATAACTAAAAGCTGTGATTAGGCATTGAGGGGGGATGTAAGCAATGTGTGTCTTTTTCATTGAGCTTTTGATGGTTCTCTTTTTTAGCTTTAGAACTCCAGCTATCAAAAGGTCAATCCTTGAAAGCTCTCCGAGAACCCCCACACCATTCAAACATGCGCTTGCCGCTCAAGAAATTAAATACGGTCCCCTGAAGATGCTAGTAAGTTCGAGAAAGGTCCTTAGGTTTAGCGTGCTTACGCGTGTAGACATTAAGTGTCCTCTGATCCAGAAATGTCCACTCTTCCCTTAGCCTCAGACACCCTCTCACTTAGTGGAAGACCTACAGGATGTGATCAAGCAGGAATCCGATGAATCTGGAATTGTTGCTGAGTTCCAAGAGAATGGACCCCCACTACTGAAGAAAATCAAACAGGAGGTGAGCCACCCTAGTTCCTCTGCACTCTGAACTGCATGACATCCGTGCTAGGTGGCAGTGACCCTTTCCTCACAAGACTGTCATGCAAAAACAGTTGAAAGGCACTGGTGTACTGTGAACTCCCATCGTCCATCTGAAAATTCAACTTCTTTAGACAGAAAAAGTGCTAGAGAGGAATAAAGGGAGGAAGGGGCCAGTAGGTTTATACTCCACTTTCAGAAATTACTGATATAGTGGTAATGAGGTCACCGATCCAAATCATGGCCAAATTAATTAAAACAAGATTTTTTTATTCATGCATATGGACTGACCCTCTCTATCATAGGGCTCAAGAAGTCAACATTGAACATGGGGAAAATAAGGGTTTTTATAGCTCGGGGGTAGGGGTTACAGGAGCAGAACATAAAACGTAACATTAAGCATAAGCATGACACGTTGGTTATAACAACCTCCTGAAACCAAGACATATTTGCAAGGTGACGGTCATAACAACTTTTGAAACAAAGGCATGGTTGTTGTTTCCTGAAATAGACAATACAGAACCGTTTGTACTTAAGGTCATAGGTGGGGCATAGCCCAGTCCTTGAGAAACAGAGATTTAATCATAACAGGAATGAACCTAGTCTATCTTTACTGTAAGACAGCTTTCAGGCCTAAGAGGGAGGCAAGACTGGTTTATCAGTAAGGGAGATGGATAGGTAGCTGAATAGACAGGCAGGCAGGCAGGCAGACAGGCAGGCAGAGACACAGACTGACAGATAGACAGACAGGAGATAAATGACAGATTTGTACCTGTCGTCTTAAGTACCAAGAAATAGTTTAGTCTAAGACAGAATGATCATGGCTAGAGAATATAGATTCAAGAATAAGAGTTTATAAGCCCAACAGAATGAAATTTTAACCATCAAAAATTAAAGTGTTAGATTATTGGGAAGAGCCATTTCCAACAGGTTGAATCCGCCTTTCAGGCTAGACTGTGTGTTCCAAAGACTGAGTAGAAATTTACACCTGACAGCAAATGTTTCCTGGAAGTCTCTTCCGTAACAAAGCACTTCCTGTTTGCTCTTAGGTGGAGTCACCCACGGATAAAGCAGGAAATTTCTTCTGCTCAAACCACTGGGAAGGGAACAGTCTGAGTGCCCAGCTGTTCGCTCAGGCGTCTCCCGTGGCAGATGCCCCAGTGAGTATCATGTGGGCTCTTCTGTGACTGTGTGTCTCATGGACTCCCGTGGGTGGTGTGGGGGAACCACAGTGCCTTTGGCTCTCACTCTTTAGTGTCCTTGGGTTTCTAAGTATTCACACCCACACGATTCCTTTGCAATTGCTTTGTCTTCTAAATGTCGTATTTCCTTCCAGTTAAGCATTCTGTTGTTTGGTTCCGTGCTACCTGGACAGTCATGGTGTGCAGCAAATGCTTGGAATTCTAGGTCCTACCCTAGGGGTTCTTCTATAGCCACAGGAGAATGGTCCCTTAGCAGATGCTCACCTGCTTTAATTAAAATGGCACAGTGTTTGCATATAGCCCATGTTCTATGTACTTTAAATAGCCAAGTCCTATTAACTTTAAGTCGCTTTTGGATTAGCTCCTATCTCACATGGTATGTAAATGCACTTTTCTGTGTGAGTGTTTTGGTTGGTGAACCCAAGCACGCAAAACAGAAGCTCTATCACCTTACTCTGGTTGTTAGTACATTCTAACCGTTAATCTGTGGATAGTGTCTCCGACATCTTAGGGACAAGCAAAGCCAGTGAAAATTGTTCATAGTGTGTACTAACTGCTAAGTACAAATTCAAAGGCTTTAGGTGAATTCATTCTCGCAGTCCTCAAAATGATGTTGATGACATTTTCACTTTCATTATACCAACTGTGCCACTGGGTAACTTAATGATTTAGTGGCTCAGTATTAGAAACTTAGCTGGGTGGTGCTGCCTTAGAGCTAGGAAGGTGTTTTTGCCAATGCCACACTTGGACCACGTACAGCGCTGCTCTTGATTTGTAGTTCTCAAATACTTCTGTGCCAATAGGGAGCATAAAGGGCTCTCGTGAGTACGTCTCTTGTTTTTAGAAGCATGGATTAATAAACTCATCGAGTAGATAGATTTTTTTGTGTACAATGCTATATGTCTAGAATTAGGTGGGACCCTGCAGCATTCTTATTGTTTTGGTGATGTTCCCAACAATGGGTTGGGAAGCGAGTATAGAGTCGGCTCCTTTGGGCTCAGAGAGGAAGGAATTTCCGGCAGACACTTGCATGTCTTCATGCTAATGCGTGCCATCTCATAGTAAGCTACTCTCTAGAGTTGGGTTTATGTTCCTTTTTGTATTATCCCACCTCATTTAAATTTCAAATGATTCCTTTCCCTTTAGAATATTCTTACCAGCTCTGTTTTAATGACACCAGTGTCTGAAGACGAAGACAATGTTCTCAGAGCATTTACAGCACCTAAAAACAGGCCCTTGGTGGGTCCCTTGCAGGTAATGACTCTTCTAGCATTTGGTGTCTTAAAATTCACTAACCGCAAATCTGTTACCTTACATTGTTTTTAGTGTTTTAGATATAAAGGAATGCTGCTTTAAAGCAACTTCGTAGTGTCTAGAACTCACCCTGTGGTGTTTTTGTTACTACTCATGTGAGATACTGGAAATTCTTGTAAAATCAGGGCCCCCAGCATGATGAAGTGAAAACGTGTTTTTTTTTTAGACTGTAACTGAGACTAAAATCATGTGTTACCCTACAATGTGCTAGTATCTCCTTCTGCTTTTAAACACTCTTAAAAATATGTATCTATAGGGTTTTTTGGTTTCAGAATTTTATTATGTATGCTTGCCCTACCAACTAGCAATCAAGAGCCGAGAGACTAGATTTCTAATGAAATGTGAAATTAGTTAGAAAATAATTACAATGCGTTTGACTAGGAGAACAAAAAGGCAGCCATCAGTGCTACACAGATCATCTGTGATGTCCATCTGCCATCAACTTTTCATATCAAAAGAGATTTCCCTGGTAACTCTCAAGTAGGTGTGTATTGATGAAATACAACAAATTCCAAATTAATCCTGAGCCAAGTGTAAATAAGAATGCAAATTTGTTCCCTCAAATTATTTAAAGCAGCTCCCAACGTTAAATAGCCTAGCACCCAGCCAGCTGCAGCCCCCCTTCACTGCCCCACCCCCGTTGTTACTCAGAGGGAAATTCTACCTGATAACCTGGTTAGAAGTAAAAAGTCTTGTGTGATGCTTTAGCAATGTAAAAGGAGGGTAGACTTTGAGAGCTGACCTCTGTTTATAGGACCTTTCCACCACTGGGTTAAGCCTGTTTTCTCCAAGTTGTGGAAATCTTTTCTCCACCCCTCTGTAGAGCCCTGACTGTCCTGAAACTCACTCTGTAGGCCAGGCTGACCTTGAACTCACAGAGTTCGGCCTGCCTATGCCTCCCTAGTACTGGGATCAAAGGTACGCGCCACCACCACCCAGCTAAGTTGAGAGAATGTTAAAACCTGTTTTCAAGTATTTGTGATAGTTGCTATCATCTAAATATATTTTTTATTATTTCTTTGGAGGATTTTATGCATTATATCTGGATCATAGGCATCTGCAACTCTTTCCCTTAACTCCTCTGAGATCTACTCCCACCGCCCTACTTCCCAAATTCTCGTCTTCGTTGTTGTTGTTGTTTTATTCGATAACCTATTGACTCTAATTTGGTCTATCGATAATACTTCTGGGTGTGTGGAGCCATGCACTGAAGCATGGCCAAACTGCCAGGTGTCTTGTGCTCTTAATGAAACTGACTCTCCCTTCCTAAGAAGCCATCAACTGCCCATGACTCACAGTTAAGGGTGAGGGCTCATGCGCCCCTTCCCACTGCATCCTAGCCTGTTGACTGGCATGTGCAGTCAGCTGCAGCTGATGTGGGTTCGTGGGTGCCATGTTTCTGTCGTGCCCAGAAGACACTATTTTGCTTGAGGTTTCCCTAGTCTCTGTCTCATTCCTGCCCCCCTCTGTGATGGTTCCTAAGTTTAGAGAGAGTTGTGACATAGATATTTGTGGCTGAGCACGTCTCAGGCACTTATTTTTTCTATCCAATAACTTACTGACTCCAGTTTAACCATTTAGGAGTTTCTGTTAGCCACCATCCAAGACACAAAGAAACTTCTTTGATGAGGACTGGGGGCTTCACTAATATACTGGTAGAGGGATACAAATTTAGAGTTTAATAATGTGTTCATTTATCAAAATAATCGTAGATTTAAATACCTGTAAACTCCCCAACCATGGGTTCTTGAACAAATCTTTAGTACCCAGTATATTCTTACTCCTATGAAGCAGGCCTTACATTTAGTAAGAAAACAGTTGGTTACCCCCTATACATCTGTGCCACTGTGGCCACCATGGGTGTATCTTGTTATGTGGGTCATTACTGCATTTCACAGTGTAAAACTGAGTAACAGTGATGCTAACTCTCTGCCCCCTCACAGTCCTCATAGCATTGTTCAGTCCTGTGAAAATTAACCAGTATGGAGGAAGCTTCCTGGTTAGTAATGACCCAGAAAGACAAACATCGCATGTAGATTTTATTGTTGGATCTTTTTATTTGTGTGTTTAATTTGGATTGCCTGTATAATCTAGGTTCATTGGTGTGGATGAAGAAGAAAGATCTTAAGGCGGGGGGAACAGTAAAACAAAGGTGATATGAAGGGGAAAATAGGGATAATGGGGGGAGGTTTAAGTGGAGAGAGGGATGGAAGGATGGAATAGAAGGTGTAGTTAAGAGAAAGATAACCAAGACTAAGGATGTTTGAAAAAGCCATATAGAATCCTAGCTATATAATGATTTTATCTATATAATTTAAGTTACCCTACAAAAAGGATTATGCTCATTTCAGAAGCATAGGTTGCTAAATAAAACATCCAGTGCTAATTGGGGGATAACTCCCCTCTAGATGCTGATCAGAGGTGCTGTGGCAACCTCAAAACAATACAAGCTATTGTCGTTGGGCTCGGTTGACATTTAGACTCTACTTCTGAAGACACTGCACGCTTTGGTCACAAGACACTGAGAAATCAAGGTGGTCCTTGTTATCACATTTTGGGTAATATAGACAACCAAATGAGTTATGGGTACAGTCATTCATTAATTCAGTTGGATCACTTTCCTCTTGCTTTCCTCAGATACTAACTGCTTTGATGAAAGATGGGTGTGGGCAAGAGTATGGGAGAAGGAAGGCCAATACTTATGCAAAGTCAGTTCTTGGGGCAGTCATGCTTGAGTTGGCTCTATGTAGTGCAAACTCAGAACACCACAAAGGTATGGGAGGTAAAAACACACTTCATCCAGGCCTGGTGGGACACAGAAAAGGGACTAAAAGGGTGTCAGGGCAAGGGGCAGCCATTTTATCGAGAGAGCTGATCACTGGTGTAGAGGGAAACCCTTGCTTTGTTCCTTAGCCCTTAGTTCCCAAAGCATTGGATTTGACTAATGCTGTTCATACTTTAAGCTGCGTTAAGTTTCATGCACATTTTATAACCTAGTCCCAAGATTCAGCTGATGTTTACTGAAGCTATAAAAAGTGTAGCCTGGCGTGAAGTTGCATGGCTTTTATCTGAGCATTTTGGAAGCAGAGGCAGGCAGATCTTTGAGTTTGAGGTCAGCCTGATCTACATAGAGTTCCATACCAGCAGAGATGCACAGTGACAACATGTCCAAAAAAAGAAAAAGAAAGAAAAGAAAAGAGGAAACACTTTGAACTTCACAGCAAATGTGTGAGTATGTTTAGTGGCTGCAATTATTTCATATATTGAAAACTCATGATTATGCTCCTAAAATTAAATCCTATTGGTTTTTGCCTTAATCAAACAGTGGTTAAGCCAAACTCTTCAGAGCTGAACATGGATAGATATAAAACTTAATAAAAAATAAGTTGTCTAAAGTGTCAGTCTGACCTTTCCGTGTTGTTTGAGGCAGGGTCTCTTTACCACTGTGTAAGTCAGGCTATCTGGCCCATGAGCTTTAGGCGGGGGGATCCACCAGTCTCCAGCCCAGGGTCTCCACATGGCGATTACATGGGTTCTGGGCATCCAAACTCAAGTTACCAGGCTTCTGCAGCAAGTATTTTTACCCACTAAGCTCTCCAGTTCCTACTGCAGCATTATTAATGCTATTAACATTTTAAAAGCCAGTATGGGACTTTGTCAACAGGGGCATCTAGTCTCTAAGACTATAGATGTACACATGTGATTTCTAAAATGTTTCAGACTTTCATGATGAAGATTGACGAGTACATAAAAGGATTCTGAATATTTAAACACATCCCTCATGTTCTTATTTTCTCAACCCAGCAACATTTAAACAATGTTATTCCTTACCTATGAGCCTGTGTTTTTCTCTTCCCCTTACCCGCACCCCCAACACGTGGTGCCTGAATCGTGGCTGATCTGAAATATTACACTATGTTTTTATATACCTATCATAAACTCTCATGAATAAATTAGGCAGTGAGAGTAACTACAACCAACAATGAAATATAGCAAGTATAATGATATACTGTAATACATGTTATTTTAATCCCATGAATGCTTATTTCTGGATACTCTAATGCTTTCTGACCACCGTTGACCCACCCCCACCCCAACTAATAACAGAAACTAAAAAAAACAAACACCCAGAAAACAAAACTGAGGGTAGGGCATAAGTTGATCCGCTGTTATCTCATACAACGGTGATTTTGTTTATTTAAACATAGTGGTGTTTTCTGCATCTCTGTTGGTAATCCAGTCGGAGCTATGGGTGAACATATCATGCACTTATTAAATGTCCTGGCTGTTCAACTGCCTTAGACACTTCCCTTGCTGTGAAATAAATAAATAAATAAAATACAGAAGGAGGCACGTGTATTGGCTCATAGTTTGAGGGTACCAATCTTTACAGCAGCAGGAGCTTGAGACCGCAGGTCACATCCAACCAGGAAGCAGAGAGCAACAAACGCTGGTGTTCATCTTGCTTCCTCCTTTATAGGCGATCCAGGACCCCAGCCCAGGGAATAGTGTTGTCCATGTTTCGGGTCTGTCTTCCCTGTTCAGCTAACTAACCAAGATAATTCTTCAGATACTCTAGAGGCTAGCATTCATTAGATAATCCCTCACAGGCCGCCCAGAGACTTGCCTCCCGAGTAATTCTAGAGCCTGTCAAGTTGCAACCACTCTCAACCATCTCATTGAATAAAGAGCATTTTATATAATCTATAACTTTTTAAATTCTTACCCTTAATAAATCAAATATGAAATGGTTCTTTAGCCAACCTGTCTAAATATTTTTGTCACAGCATAATGTTTTTGTTTTTACACCATGTTTTTGGAAATGTAGTCTTACTGTATACTGGATAGCCCAAGCTGGCCCCAAATTTGTGGTGATCCTCCTGCCTTTGCCTCTTGAGTGTTGGGATCACAAATTGTAATTCACTGTGCCCAGTTTTCAA